TGTACAAATTTAAAATGTGAACAGTTTACAAACAAATTACATGCCTTGGCATCTAGCAAGAGGTTATCTGGTTTAATATCTCTATGGATAAATCCCAGTTGATGAATGGCATCTATGGCCAGCACAGTTTCAGAAATGTAAAACTGTGTTTCCTCTTCTGTTAAAGTGTCTTTCTTCATAAGTAAGGTCATCATGTCACCTAACCACAGAGAAAAAACACATTAGAAAGATGAGTGCATTTTAATTACCAAGCACAGTTGTACTGGAAATGTCAGTAGATTCTATTAGAACCTTGCAACTGACGACTTTGTTTCGTGCCCCCACTTTGGGGAAACCACCAATGGGCCTATGCTGCTTTGTTTACTTAAATGAGCTTCCTTGGCTGGAAATGGCAAACTGGAGCCAATGGGAGCTGCAAGGCTCCACTGTTATGGACCTGTTCAGTAAACAAAGTGGCGCAGACCCACTAGCAGCTTTCCCAAAGCACCCAAAGAACACTTTGTCAAACACTGATCCAGGAACTGCTAGCTCAGTACACCCATTGTTACTCTGCTTCAAGACCTGTTCACAAAATTGGACCTTGCAGGAACCAGATGAAAAGTATTAACTGGATTTTTAAGTAGGGTACATAGCGAGATGGAATTGGTTTAATTACCTAACATATACCACACAGTAATTGTTTTCAGTAATAGCCACTTCCATAGATATTGGCATCAATAGAGAACAGCAGAACATCTAATTACAGGAATTATTTCAATCAAAACCACAACTATGATTACAAATATTTTGAAGTCCCAGGGGGAAAAAAATGCAGGAATAGTTATATCACTGACACTGGAATTTAACAGTGTAAAAAGCCCATAATCATCAAGAATTTAAGATTAGTTTTGTCACCCACGATCTTAAAAAAAAGGAACAAACACTGAGCAACTGAATTCACTGGTTTGCTTTTTACCTCCAGGTAGGAACTCCATGATCAAGTAAAGATTTCTTTTATCCTGAAAACTATAAAACATCTTCACCACCCAAGCACCATCTGCTTCAACCAATATATCTCTTTCTGCTCTGATATGAGCAACCTACATGAAAAGAGACCAAAAAAAAAAAAAGTGTCACTCATCTCAAGGACAGTTATTACTTAAATATTAACCTGTATTTCTAGTTATTGAACCAATCACTGCATTGTTCATGATCTCTGATGAAGAAACTACAGTCCCCTGTCAAAGTGCAACAACAGGGGAGACAGCACTCTGGTCATTGAAACGAATTACTCTAGAGTCAGGCCTGTATGCAGGAATTTCTGGGGTGTGTGCATTTTTTTTTGGTAAATGTGGACGGCAAGGGTATGAATGCACCCTCATTGTCCTCCAAGTAAGCAGGGAAATCAACCCCAGCTGGCCAGACGATGGGAGAGGGAGGCTTGGATAGTGCTCCACTCCTGCCTTCCCCAGCTGGCCAGAGTACTTACTTGGGGGACTATGGAGGTGTTTTTGCACCCTTTGCACTCCCACTGCATACAAGCCTGAGAGTAGACCTCATTAAGAACTGTGCCTAACTGATGTGCTGAAGAGAACTAAGAGACTGACACAAAAGGCATAGGAGGGAATTGAGAGAGAGGAGAGAAAGAATGAGAGAAAGCTCTCTACAGCCGTGGTGTCCAAGCTCTCTACAGCCGTGGTGTCCAACCTATTCTGAAGCAGCAGCCATTACAGTGACTACTGCTAAAGCGAACTAGCCACACTCAACCAGCCAAAGAGCCACATCTGGCTAGCATGTTGGACACCGCGACTCTAGAGATCTCCCCTGCTTCAGGAGGGCTCTGTAGGGCAGTAAGCATAAAATAATACAGGGTATAAGAGTGGTGGAAACACACGGACTAAGTCTACACTGGCATGATTTTCCGAAAATGCTTTTAATGGAAAACTTTTCCGTTAAAAGCATTTCCGCAAAAGCACGTCTAGATTGGCAGGATGCTTTTCCACAAAAGCACTTTTTGCGGAAAAGCGTCCGTGGCCAATCTAGACACGGTTTTCCGCAAAAAAGCCCCAATTGCCTTTTTCGTGATCAGGGCTTTTTTGCGGAAAACAGTACTATGCTGTCTACACTGGCCCTTTTGCGCAAAAGTCTTTCGGAAAAAGACTTTTGCCCAACGGAAGCAGCATAGTTTTTCCGGAAAAGCACTGATGATTTTACATGAGATCGCCAGTGCTTTTCCGGAAATTCAAGTGGCCAGCTTGTAGACAGCTGGCAAGTTTTTCCCGCAAAAGCAGACGATTTTGTGGAAAAACTTGCCAGTCTAGACATAGCCATGTGGTAAATAAAGTGCATGGAGTGTTTGCTTTACCAGTAAAAGGTCCCTGAACATTGCATGGGCTTGAAGAGAGTAGGAATGAACAATAACTCTACATGGCAAATTCCTGATTTGAAATATCATCTCAATGCATTCCCAAATCCATTGTTGTTTGTAAAGGGTGTTTCTATTTGAAGAAAAATACTCAGCAGCTGAGCAGTGCTTGTGGAAAAATGGAATTTTTGAATTATTGAAACTGGCTATGGATTTTTTTTTATTTCATGCAAGATTTTTATCTATTGATGCAGGCCTGCAAATCTGCAGATACCCACTTCACATCCACAAGTATCTACATCCACAGACATTTATGTGGACATCCATAGCTCATTTTTGCAGATACAGGAGCGAATCCAATTTTATATCTAGAATACTGCAAATTTTCAGATATCCGCAGATCATTTTTGCAGATGCCAATACAAATTTTGTATGTGTGCTGGGCTCCACATATTGAAGTATAAAACCATGTCAAGGTTTGGTCTGTAATGCAACTTTTCCAACTGTGAATTCATAGATACCAACAAATAGCTGAAATGTTATCTGAACATCAATGTGAAAGCTTGGTACAAGTGTAGAAGCTTGTCTTAAATCGTGTGGAAACAGTCTGTCTGGCAGAAGAATGGTTCCATCATCAAGAGAGGTAGGTAAAAAACAAGTGCCTGAGCTGCAATGAAATAGTGCTATTTTGTTAACTGAATACAACTTACTAGCAACCTAACGAAAAGTATTAACCAAGTGTTCATAAAATCCACTGGGAAATATCCTAGGTTTTGGGACTCTTTTATGAAAACAATCTACAAAATAGTACTGGACTGGACTGGTGGAAAAGCACCTTGACAGACTGTTTTTGTCTGCAGCACTGTTAGTTGGAAGAACTGTGACACTCTAAGGCGTAGCATTTCAGTGGAGAAGAGGTGTGGTCCAGAAAGACTATGTCGGATAAATATTTCCTGTGAGCTCTGATGTAACTCAGCAACATCCTCTAGACAGAACTTAAGGACAATGTAGCTAAGCTCTGTATCCCACTGGGTATTTTCTAATTCTTAAAGAATCTGAAATATGATTGAAGAGTTGAATCACTCCCTATCAGCTGAAGTTCTGTCTTGTAGACAGATAGATACAAGATGTTAAATAGAAGGAAATAATCTTACAGTAATCCAACTTTCAGAACTATTTTCACCAAGCCACAGAATCTGATCTTTAATGCAACTTCTTCTACTGCTCCTCAACTCTATTGCCCAGAAATCTCTCTGTGAGGATAGTGGTCTCCCCATTCCTCATTCTGTCACCTCTCCACAGAGGCCTATTCACTTCAACTTATTTGACTGTCCCAATAGATTTCTTTCCTCCCTACCTCCTATTCAGAATGAGGATACCGCATACAATTAGACATAGTTTAAAAACAAATTATGAGGATCTCTCCCAGTGACAACATATTTGAAATTCTGTAGATTTTATTGCATTTGTCTCTAATGCATTGTCCCTACAGAACACACTAAGCAGTGTAACATTCAGCAAATCTACACTCCTTACTGATTGTGGGTTGTCTATATTGTAGCCATGGCTGTAATTTCTGCACCTGCTTCGATAGAGCTAGTATATGTGGTGAAAACGGGATAGCCCAATTATTAAATGTAAATATATATAGGCAAATAGGTCTCAGTCTACAACTGAAAACTATTTATTAAAATAAAGTTTGAGAATTAAAGATTGTTTTCTTAAACCCAGAGGTGACAGTTGTGTTTGGAGTTCTTCAGCAAACCCCACAGATGTACAAAATTCAAAGCTTTAATTGACTGAATATTTTCCTCCCCTCTTTCTGTCCACCAAAATAAACCCTGATATTTATCCAGAAACATTAATAATTTTGTACTGATTTGTATCTGTTTTTATTGTTGTGGTAATAAACACTGGTAATTCCTGAAAAAAGCAAAATAATAACTGAAAATGAAGGCCCTATCTGCACTATATAATCTGAAGAAAAAAAGGGCATTGTTCATCACCCCAGGAGTGTCCAAATATAACACTTTGCAAAATGCCATTGTTACAAATAAAGGCTAGAAAATAAGGTATTACCATAGTGTCCTGGAGCACTAGTCATGGACCAGGAGCCCACTGTGCTAGCTGCTGAACAAACAGAGGATGAAAAGATGGTCCCTGCCTCAGAGAACTTGCAATCTCAGTAATTTCCTAGCATAAGCAACAGAAACATAAAAGGTATTTACTATAAACCTAGGCACATTCCATTCCACAAACCTGCTCTTTTTCCAGCATATCAGCTTTTCTCAAAATCTTCATTGCATAAATATGACCCGTATCTTTCTTCTGGACAAGTCGTACCTAAAATTAAATAGATAATCATCCTTTTAATATGGTTCACAAAATTGTGATATCTTGAAGGATTGAAAATGGTTGGTGCTTAAAAGATCTCTTTGATTTTAAAGTCATGAATACATGAAAAAGAAAAAACAGGACATAAACCATACATACTTATACACCAAATTGGACTTTAGATATTTTAAATATCTTTTTGGGATGGTCAGTGTTTTGATAAAATTAACAATCAAATTGATTACTACATGGTCTTTAGCTCAATGGTGCTAATTTGTACAGGAAAGTCTTATGGCTTGTCTATACTCGCACATTTTCTGAAATATCTATTCCAGATAACTCCTATGTGGACACTGTTTTTCCAGAATAAATATAACATTTCAGACACATACCTCCCCAAATGCTCCTCTTCCTATAACTTTCAGAGATTCAAAATCGTCCAAACCAAGCCTTGTCCTCTTCAGTCGCAGGAATTCTGTTTCTTTGCGGGCATGTTGTGACCTACGCAGTTTTTTCTATGGAAACATATTGTGATAATTAGAAAGTTTCTTGTAAGTTAAGTAACATATATAACTGAAAATATCAGGAATATATAAACTATATTTTAGAAAAAGAAAGTTTTAGAACATAGGAAATGTAATTCTCCATCAGATCCCCTAGTCCATCTAGTTCAATAGTCGGTCTTTGACGTAACTTGCACTAGATGTTTGGAGGAAGGTGCAAGAAACCCCAAAATAAGCAGGTATGGATGTTCAAAATCCTAGGAAGAGCTTATCGTAATAGTTAGATATTGGCTTCTGCCAAAAAAAAAAAAAAAAAAAAAAAGGTTTTAAAACCCTTCAGTTCTCCATGTTTAAAGTTAGTAACATTAATATTTTTAAAACAATGAGGGAGTTGGTGGGGAATTTTTCAATTAAATGTTTTTTGGTCTGAAAATGTTGATTAATCAAATCCAAAACTTTTAGTGGAAAAGGATCAGTTTTGATGTTTTTTGGAGAGCAGCTGGGACAGTTAATTTCAGAATTTTAAAAATGGGGAAAAAAATAATCTGATTTTCCCATTCAAAACAATGTTTTCTATTTTGCATCTCAAACTAGTTATACTAAAAAAAGTAAATGGTTGACACTGAAACAAAACATTTAGAAATAAATGAATCAAAATATTTCAGTTGACTCAAAACAGGAGTGTGTGGGGGCTGGATTTTCAGTTTACAAAAATATTTGAGATTCCAACTTTTCATCCTGATTTAGGACAGAATTTTTTTCAAACTTTTCCATGAGACAGGAAGAGATTGTCCAAGAAATTCTTGCTCAGCTTTTGCTGCACCTGTATTCCAGCTGCAGGCATGCTACTTGCATAAAGAGAGACTAATACAATCAGGTAGAGTGTGTGAAGGGGTGTTTAGTTACTGGTTTCTACTACACATGAGAAGGAGAGAAGACACTTTGTTTAAAGTACATACCACTGCTCAATGACCTAAATACACCTAATTAAAGTTCTTGAGGTGGGGTAGAAGTGAGACACAAACATAGATGCTAACTGGTGACATTTCAAAGTATTGCTTCCAGTGATGCTTCAAAACTTGAACATTGAAACAAAAGAGCTTCCAATCATCTACATATGCCACTGGGTAAAATCCACTGGCTCAGAAGACAATTCTATTTTGAAGTGGGGCAGGTGGGATAGGTCAAGAAAAGCAAAAGCACAGGTACTATGAATTGGATGGGGGTAAAAAAGAAAAAGGCAGCTGTGGGAGAACAATTAGGTAGCTTGCTGGGCAACTGAGATCCACATTTTTCATTTACACCAAAATCTACTTGTGTAAGGCAGCTTGATGGTCATTGCAAATATGTTTTAGTATACAAAAGTGTCAAAGGGCTTCATCCTGAAAGATGCTAGTACAACACCTTCTAGTGATGTTAATAGGAGTTTTAAAGGTACTGAGACCCAGCAGGATCAGGCACTGAAGTAATACATTTTTATACTAGATTTTTAAATATCATTTAAAGCCACAAGATGGCATCATATGGCCACTTGCTCTCCATTCATTCTCTAGACAAAGGGCTTCATCCTGAAAGATGCTAGTACAACACCTTCTAGTGATGTTAATAGGAGTTTTAAAGGTACTGAGACCCAGCAGGATCAGGCACTGAAGTAATACATTTTTATACTAGATTTTTAAATATCATTTAAAGCCACAAGATGGCATCATATGGCCACTTGCTCTCCACTCATTCTCTAAAGAATAGTAATAGAGATGTAGCCGTGTTAGTCTGGTCTTGCTGAAACAAAAGACAGGACTATTCAGCACTTTAAAGACTAACAAGATGGATAATTAGGCGATGAGCTTTTAAATGCACCAATACAAGACCCATCTGAGGCAGACTATTGTATTCTTCAATAAAAGAACCAATGTAATTGTAAAGTAACCAATGTATTGTAAAGTTCAATATAAGAAACAATTATGTGAATGGCCACAGCAACGCAATTTAAAAGAGAAAATGTTGAAAGATCTAGTGGGTGTGATTCTCTTCTCACTTACACTGCTGTGAAGCAGGGATACATAAATCCTTTACTGCTCTAATGCTGGTGCATGCTAGACCCAGTGTTTTAAAAAAACCTCAAGGTTTGGTTCAATGAAAATATAAAGCCACTGAAGCAAATTCAACCCTCGGGTGAGTATATGCAACTCCCACGGTCTATAGTGGAATTAGTTACCTGCTTGAAGTTAGGTACATAGTTAAAACAGCCTGCTGAATCAGGGATTACAACCTAAATCCGCTCCCCTATGTATTTTGTCTTCTGCCTATGTCATCCAAGTGTTTCTGGTCCTTTTTTCATTCCTTCTCCACACCTGAGCGTCAAACAAATTCATACTCCAAAAACCAAGGGTTGTGTTACGTTCTTCTTGGGTGCCTCTATCTTATTGGATCATGAGTACCAAACGGTGTGTGAGCAATCTTTTTTATGAAAAAATTAAAAGCTTATGAGGCTTCTCTTATAAAAACTCAAATGTGGAGTTTGTTTACAACAGCAAAACTTACAATAAAAAAAAATATCAGTGTCATGTTGGATAATAAGACTCTTAACAATCAACCATATACTCATCCAAACACCAGATCTGAACAACCACCATGAAATATATTTGAAGACTTTGTATCTCAGTTGGCATTACCTCTTCATCTGCCAGGCCTTCTTCATCCATAGCCACTTCTAGCTTTTTCTGTCTGCATAGGTAGACATGGGAGAAGACATTTTTAATAAAGTTCCACCAGACAGTATAAAAATTCCCTTACATCACAGGGAAAATTTCCCTTACATCTTTATCATTTACATCAACTGGAGAACAGAAGTGTAATATCAGAAATCTGCCATTTTAAAGAGCTTTTTCATTTCTTGGAAAAGATATTCTGTACAAAAACAAGGGATCTGTACTATCCTTTAAAAGAGAAGAACATCATGAACCCAGGTCTCAACTCTCTAGTCACAAGAACTCCCACACAAAGGCATACATGACAATATGTCCCAGTCCATAAGTGTTAGCTATTATATTTTGATAATACCAGATGTGTGTATAGCATTTCACATAAAAGATGACAAGGCCTTTGCCCCAAGAGCCATCTAATACCCCAAATCCCTCAACACTTACACACATGTTCAGTCATGCCTCTCACATGTGACCAGACCTGCTGAAGCCAATGGGTCACATGAGTAAATTTTTATATATGCAAAGTGTCTGCAGGATGGAGATTTAAAGGTCCAAATTCTAGATACTTTGATCTTCACCACTTTATTGTCATGCATTATCCTGTTGAAGCAAATGGGACCATACATCTGAGCTAAGATTTTGAACGAGTGAAACGATTTTAAGTTCTCTAGTTTCATTTTAAGCATTTATTTAAAAGTCAAGACTTTCTCATTTTGAGAATTACAGTACAATCTACTAGACTAAGACTCCTTGGTGAACAATCTATCCTCCCACTTGGGAGAGGCCCATTTAATATAGTAAGGACTAAAAGAGAAGCCCCTCAAACCTTTTCTGTGGTTATATAATCTCAATAAAAAATTGTTTCTATAACAACAGAAACTTATGTCATTTATTGAAACAAAGTATTCATTACAATAAAGAGTTGGTGTTTTGACACTTTGATCCTAATGTAAAGCTACTGAATAATGTTCTCTCTAAAGCTGTGCTCCCTGCATGAAGCTTACTGACAAGGTGGGGCTGATTAATCACCTGTGAAGCTGTGCTACCCTGCAGCTTAGAGGGAATGCTGATTACAATGTAACTGGAAACTAGACTACGTCTAGACTGCATTACTTTTCTGGGATACCAGAGATATCCCGGAAAAGCAATACCACGTCCAAGGAACGCATCCACTTTTCTGAAAAATTTTTTCGAAAAATAAGACGCGCTCTTTCACCATCCCTGTAAACCTCATTCTTCAAGGATTAAGTGATGTGTCAAAAGAGCACTTTTTTCCAAAATTTGGCGCTGTGTAGATGCGCCAAATCTTGGAAAAGCCTCTTTTGAAAGTAAATCAGAAAAAGATACTCAATGTGAATACTGCAAATTGTGTTTCTTTTTCCGATTTAACAGCAGCGTAGACCTAGGCCTAGGGAAGGAGGATATGGAAGTTAAAATCAAGTTAGTTGGCTCTATTCTAGTGCTTCTGCAGCTATTGCAGCCAACACTAGTGCAACAGTGATAGAAGCCCAAACAAGGCCTTTGTGCTGAGATACACATTCCCTAAAAGAATGTACCCTCAAATAGGTAGCAATTTCCTTAGAAACTGAAATCAATACAGCTTTCTAAGAAATACTTTGTGCAGGGACTTAAATGAATTTAAAAGCACATAGTTGGTTTGTACAAATACCACAAAATAACAATATAAATTAAAAGCTAAAGGTGTGAAAGAACCGGGACAAAGTACCTGGTTTCTCTCTCTTCATGCTGTAAAATTAGGTTGCTGTAGAAATTCTCCAATGTAAGTTTGGCCACAGTTACTCTCTCCCGGGTGTGGTTGCTCATGGGAAAGGATGTTGTAGTCCCTGCAGTCATTGCCATAGTAACATGAACTGAAACAGAGCACATACAATTACTCAAAGAGACTTTTTATTCCCCCCAGAAAATCAGAGAGAGTGTGAAATTCATGGGGAAGACACCTCCCTTCTTTGTGAACAAATCCATAAACTTCATATTGTAAAGTAAGAGCAAGGGGAGGATGTGCTACCCACTCACCAAAAAACAGAAACCATGTCCTGGCAAAACAAGGAGTGACTCATAGGAGAGGACCATTCTGATTACAGGCAACTACTCTGATGTACTTGTCCAGGCATTAAAGAGATTTACTACTGGCTCACTAGAGTCCAACTCTCTCCCTGCTCCCTCCCCTACCCTGCCCCCACACCTGCCCCATATATAAATATAAAATGAGTCTGGAGCATGAGGAAAGAGGTCATCCATGTAGCTCTCTAAATGCAATATGTATGGACAGCACAAAAAAAGTTTTAAGACTGAAAAACTTCAAATCTTTCACATAAAAAAATGGTGAAAATGAAAAACAAGCAAACATCTAGCAAAGATAAGATAAGCTAAATTTCACTGTAAACTATTTTACTTTAAAAAACATCTTTTACTAGAACTTAGTACTGATACTTGGATAATACTGTATCTAGAAATCATCCCCTCAAAAAGATATCTTCCGTAGTTTATGGAGAAATTTTTCTTAATCACAAAAATAATAAAAAATAAATCATGAAACTTGCCCCCCTGCAAATGGATCAGGCTCCGAGGGAGTTTTTGATAACCTGAAAAGTTGTTTGCCTTGTGATCTCCTTCAGATCCTTTTCCATGCACTAGAGACAATCTGGTAAATCAGAACTGTTTAGCACATTCAGAAACCACTGTAAAGGGGTTTTCAGGCTGAAAAGGAATTCCCCTAGACCTGCACATAGCCATTCCAGGTTTGTGACTTAAATAACCTGTAGAACAGGGGATGTGATCACTGAGGAACAGGACAGGGTTGCTAAGAAGCAGTCTGAGGGCTGGTTAAAAAAAAAAAACCACCCCAAATCCATTCCATTTTGGTTTTAGGGTTGGAGTTCCAAGAGAAGGGTGAGCAAGAACTCCCCACCGTGGAAGCGAGCAAAGCCAGCTCAGCTCTCTCAGCTCCAGGCCAGCAGAGCTGTTAGGAAGCATTCTTTTCTCTTAGCAGTCATGTTTTAGTCCGGAGCTAGGTAAAAGCATGGTGGGAAATAAATCAGTATGTAAGCACTGCCATTCTCTAAGAGACAGGGAAGGAAGCATTTTGTGCCAATGGCTCCTTCCTGAAAAGCTACTTCCTTTTTTGTTTGTTTATATTACCCTATTGCTTCATAAAAGGATTTTGATGCAGCTCCCTCTGACAAATATCCAGATCAATGTTTGATCTTCGAATACTATAATGCTTCTTTTTGGTGAACAGATAAAAAGTCACAAACAGAAGTAAGTTTTAGTATAGAAAACCTACAGACATGTCTTTTTCTTGGTCTGACTTTTCACACACACAGTATGGGCATGTCTACACAGCAAGTTATAATTAAACTATAATTAATTGCATAACTTAAGTTGAAATAGCTTATTTCAACTATTGGTGTTATCTACACAGCAGTTACTTCAAGATAGAGCACTCTTCCCCAACTTCATTTACTCCGCATACAATGAGGGTTGCAGGAGTTGGAGTAAGCAGTCCTCCAGCTCGCTATTATTTCAACATTATGTCAGAATAACTGCTTGGGCTCGTCTACATTGGCCCCTTTTCCGGAAGGGGCATGGTAATTTTTTGAGATTGTAATAGGGAAATCCGCGGGGGATTTAAATATCCCCGGCGGCATTTAAATAAAAATGTCCGCCGCTTTTTTCCGGCTTTTAGAAAAGCCGGAAAAGAGCGTCTACACTGGCCAGATCCTCCGGAAAAAAGCCCTTTTCCGGAGGATCTCTTATTCCTACTTCAAAGTTCCTACTTCAAAGTAGGAATAAGAGATCCTCCGGAAAAGGACTTTTTTCCGAAGGATCTGGCCAGTGTAGACGCTCTTTTCCGGCTTTTCTAAAAGCCGGAAAAAAGCGGCGGACATTTTTATTTAAATGCCGCGGGGGATATTTAAATCCCCCGCGGATTTCCCTATTACGATCTCAAAAATTACCATGCCCCTTCCGGAAAAGGGGCCAGTGTAGACGTAGCCCTTGTGTATAGATTCAGACTGTTATTTTGGAATAACATTAGTTATTCTGAAATAACACTGCAGTGTAGACATAGCTTAAGGGAGCTTGCGAGGAAGGCATTTCGTCTTCTTTTAATTGAATTTTATGTATTTAATACATTTCTAACAAAGAAACACTGTCATAATGCATCAGCTGTGCATTGAGCCGTGGGATTTTACAATAGCATGCAGATAGTATTTTACTTATCCATTTTGGACAATGCCCACGTGCCACTTCTGAGAACAAGTAAGAATACTGATGAACTAGCAATATAGTAGACTTTACGATCTTGTAGCTAGGGTTGCCAGATACCTTCACAAAAAAAATCCCAAACATGGCAGGGAAAAAAAATTGGTTGAGAAAAAAAAAAGGGGGAGGGGGGGAGACACCATAATTGGTTTCTCAAGCAAAATTGTTGAGGAAAAAAAAGGACGCTGCACCTTTAAGTTCCTGCACGCCCCTGTGGTATTTTCTAGTTTGTTTGTTTTTTTAAACCAGACAGAAGACGCAATTACCGGACTGTCCAGGAGAAAACTAGATACCTGGCAACCCTACGTAGCTATTTCTGCGGGGTTTATTAGTATTTTATCTCCTTAGAATTTCTCACAAGGCCTGCTATTTGCTCAATTAACCTATTACAATCTAGATTAACAATAGATGAATACACAGAAACAAAAATCCAAGAGGTTACCTTCTCTTACACCAGAACCACCAGGCATGATCATGATTTTATATATAATAAAAAAATCTCCCTCTTCCTCCCCCCCCATAAAAATCTCCCTCTTCCTCCCTGCCTCTCCCCCAGTTTTCCCATATACAGAAGTGATGGAAAAACTGATGAAAACAGATAAGAAAATAAGAACGGTCGTACTGGGTCAGACCAAAGTTCCTTCTAGCCCAGTATCCTGTCTACCGACACTGGCCAACACCAGGTGCCCCAGAGAGGGTGGACCGAAAACGATGATCAAGCGATTTGTCTCCTGCCATCCTTCTCCAGCCTCTGACAAACAGAGGCCATGGACACCAATTCTATCCCCTGGCTCATAGCCTTCTATGGACCTAACCTCCACGAAATTATCTAGCTTCTCTTTAAACTCTGTTATAGTCCTAGCCTTCACAGCCTCCTCTGGCAAGGAGTTCCACAGGTTGACTACACGCTGTGTGAAGAAGAACTTTCTTTTATTAGTTTTAAACCTGCTACCCCTTAATTTCATTTGGTGTCCTCTAGTTCTTCTATTTAGGGAACTAATAAATAACTTTTCTTTATCCGCCCTCTCCATACCACTCATGATTTTATATACCTCTATCATAACCCCCCCTCAGTCTCCTCTTTTCTAAACTGAAGAGTCTCAATCGCTTTAACCTCTCCTCATATGGGACCCATTCCAAACCCCCAATCATTTTATTTGCCCTTTTCTGAACCCTTTCCAAGGTCAAAATATCTTTTTTTTAGGTGAGACGACCACATCTGTACACAGTATTCAAGATGTGGGCGTACCATCCTAGAGATCTACAAAATCTCTAGCCATTTCTATTTATTCTGTTGATTTCATGCCATTTCAAAGTCACCACGTCAATAGGTGGAAGTCTTGATAAAATGTAAGTATAGCATATTTCTATCATGTCAATACATATTGTAATAGCTGCACTACAGTTCTCTATTGACAAAGAAAGGGAAACACAAACCAGGTGATTTTACTAACGAAGTTCAGTATATGCACACTTCGAATTCTAGTTCTCCCTCTTAGCGGGGCACAGAGTGATATCAGTGATCTAATTGTTTCCAATAATGATCCAACACGGCAAAAACAGCCTTTTGTTCCTTTAGGAATTCTTGGCACTGAATGTATTGCTAACCCAGGCTCAAAATGGATTAAACTTCATTTAAAGTATAAAGACTTTTCAGTTGTATCAGACACATATTTATCATTTGCAAGTCTAGTACTCTCGGTTGGCCAAAATAAGCATATAATTGTGTGCTCTTTTCATTTGTTTTCCCCATGTTCCTATACACACAAATGCAGACACTACCAAATCTCAATCACTTGATTTCATTAAGCCTGGAAAAAGGAGATCATTTTAGCAGTAAAGCACTGAGCTATAAATAGAATGGCTGATTTTAATTGGAAGTAGTTCTAAAATAAGAAAATACAGAATAGCTCCTGATTAGTAAATTAGCGAGCTCAGAGAAATCTATTTAACTGTTCAGAAGCTTGTCATTACTGTGCTAATACAGCATAAAATAAAGAAAGGTAGAATTACTGTAGCAAGTGTCCACTTCCAAAATCATAATTGCCTCCCCCAGCCACTTCTCTGTTGCTATTTATTCTTCTGATGTTTAGTACATTTTGCTTACACTGTGATGCGAGCACATTCAAGTAACTAACAGTTCCAGCATTGTTAATTATAAAAAAAACAAACAAACAAAAAAAACCACCCACATCCCTTTAGCTAAGAGCCTAATCCTAATCAACTCCCTTGATTCCCAAGAAGGAGCACAGAGGTGTTGCAGAAAGTGTACAGCACCTTGCAGAGTTGTCCCTAAATTTCCACGTGTACACACAACCCAACGCAGTTGGGAAGAGGCAAACAAAATATTTAAACATGGCCTTTATAAACAACTGATCTGGGCAGGAGGAGTAAGGGAAAATCAAAGGAAGGCCCTGCTCAGAATTTTGGCTGAACACTGCATTCACTGATCTCACTATATTCATCAAAATGTTTTGAAAAGGTGCCACCCATATTTCTTGGAAATGCCCATAAAAGAGCCATTAATCCGCCCAAGATCATGCCATTTACATAATAGAGTCATTCTATTCCTGAAGTGCCATCTAATTTGCATTAGATTTATGAAACTACAAAGAACACAGCACTTTAACCAATTAGTCATATTTCACTTAGTGCTTTTGAATTTCTCAGCCAGAAGGCTTTAAGTCCTTTACAACAGGTCTATTACTCTGGAATACTTGATATAAAAGATAACAATTTACAGCAGGCATGTCCAAAGTCCGGCCCGCGGGCCAATTGCGGCCCGGGTAATTTGGCAATATCTATCTTTTATGGCCCCCAATGAATCCATATGTATTGAGATGAATACATTGTAAAATCTCAGTTAAAGTCAGTTGGTCTAAATCAGTTATAAATATATTTGGACACAACATGTATACTTGGTGTTATGTTCCTGTTCATATTTTTTGAACTTAAAAGTTGACAGACAACCTTTATTACCAATAATATGTAATGTACTTTACAATGTTCCTGACATATATTTCAGCTTCCTGGATTTTTTTTTCATCTGGCCTTCAGATATGAAAGGCAGAGTGATTTAACACCTGTTTAGATTTGTCATCCATGTGACGAAATGAAAAGTATGCCGTTTGTAATAAACTTTGCATAAAATAGTTACTTTGCATTTAATTTTAATGGTTCAAAGAATGTCAGGCAAAATGGTCGGCCCTCACGCATGTTCACTTCATCAAATCTGGCCCTCTTTGAAAAAAGTTTGGACTCCCCTGATTTACAGGCATTTCCACAATCTCATCACCACAAACCTTTACATTTTCTACCAGTAAAAATTACTGATTGGTTAAGACATACCCCCAGCCTTTTAAATCTAAAATCTTCTAAGTGGACTATGAAAGGAAAACTTTAGTAAGCACCAGTTACTATCTCCTCACTCCACTTTCAAATCAGTTTTATGGATCGATTTAAAAATCTGTCTGTCCCAAGTCAAATGTTCCTGAAAACACTGTTCCATTGTTGAAAGTCTCCACATACCACAATTTCTGGTGCACAAATTGCTTCCACTATTTGATCTGAGGAAGTGGGTCTGGCCCACGAAAGCTCATCATCTAATAAACCATCTTGTTAGTCTTTAAAGTGCTACATTGTCCTGCATTTTGTTTCAACTACCCCAGACTAACACGGCTACATTTCTATCACTGGTGCACAAATGGCCATGCAAAGTCCTCTGCTCAAATTCTATTCCTCGGAGTGTTTACACTGATTTGGAAATGTTAATTAAACCAAAGCATATTGGAGCACCATAGCATCTGAGAGATGGAACCACTTGCTACAGTGAGCCAGAATAGTAAAAATGGGATGAATGAAGCATCCGGAGAATGAGTTCCCTCTAATGAAACTGACCCTCTGGAAATGTGGGAGCATTTCCTAACAAGAGAAATAAGCATAAAAAGCCAGTCTCATATTCAAAGTCTCTCATATTCAGAGCACTGCATCTCCAGACTTCAGAGATTTGGATGGGATTCTATTCAGAAAAGCCAGAAAAAATGAAAGATGAGGTAGCATCAGAGCCATCCCTACCAGTGTTGGTGCCTTAGGCAGCACTGGCACCACTACCCACCACAGCAGGAGTGGCCGCTCTGGGGGAGAGGACCTGCAGGGACAAGCTGTGGGAGGCAGGGGGCTGCCAACTTTCCCAGAACAGATGAGCCAGATGCCATTTGCTGCAATGGTGTCCAGTCCAGGAGAGTTGGCAGCCATGGAGCAGGGCAGGGAGGAAGGCTCACCTGCAGCCTCAGGGGGGCAGGCAGGAGATGCAGGAAGCAGTGAGTGAGGTGAGCACTGGCTGGAGCGGCAGAGGGTGGCTGTGCTGGGGCTGGTGGTGAGATCTCCAGGTGGAAGTGTGGGCTCCAGGATGGGAACAGAAATGAAGGATTCAGGATGGGGTGTGTGAAGAGGTGTGGACTCTGATGTGGGGCAGGAGATGAGTGGTTTACAGTGTGGGGGGGGCCTCCAAGTTTGGGGCCAAGAGTTTGGAGTATGGGAGTGAGCTCAGGACTGGGACAAGGGAATAGATTTAGGAGGCGGCTCAGGGTTGGGATGCAGGCTTGTTCTGACCTAGGGAAGGGGATTGGGGTGCAGATGGGGATACAGGCTTTGGGAAGAAGTTAAGGTGCAGGAAGGAGTTCCAACCTGGGACAGATGTTCGGGGTCAGGCTCCAGCTGAGTGGCGTTTATCTCAGGCACCTCCAGGTTGGCAGCGCAGTGAGGCTAAAGAAAGCTCCCTATAGATCCTAGCTTCGTACTGCTCCTGGAAGCAGCCAGGATGTCCAGCTGCTAGGCAGAGGCACAGTCAATGGGAGCTGTGGAGCCAATACATGGCACTTCCCTGATCACTCCTAGTTGTAGGGGCTGCAGGAACATGCTGGCTGCTTCCAGGAACTGTACTGAGCCTGCCTTACCCTGTTGTGCTGCCGAATGAACTCTTAACAGCCCATCTGATTGGGCATTTCAGTCAAAAAACCAGAGGCTTGGCAACCCTAGTTCAGAAAGTACATTGATAGGGCCATTCTATGCATGGTGCTGGAGAGACTAGCCACATGACCACAGATCCTTCTATCAAATCTTTCTGGCTCCTCATGTTTTGTTTTGAGTATTTTTTATTTCAGTCTTTTAATGGGAATTTATGCTTACAAAAAGGCAGTAGAAACACTGAAAACCAAAGACTTCTGTTCACTCAACAGGCACAGCACGAGCAGGGGAAATGGTATCTTTCTCACAAAAAACACTTCAAGATCCAGGGGACACCATAAGTCTCCAAGCCCATTCAATCCTTAACATCTCTTGCAAAGGATGCCAGCAACAGGGCAAACTGGTGAGAGTGGTAGTGGTAGTTTTCTTGATGTGGACAGCTCTCCAAACTGAGATCACCCATCCTATTAAAAGATAAAGCCTCTGCACAACTGCATGAGATGGTACTATTTGCTACCACGCATCAAATTAAATAGCATTTAAACCAGACAACGCAAATATTCTTCCCAGCCACTACTACTTTTGCAAACTGTTTTATTTTATTTTAGTTTTTAACTGCTCCAAAAGCCAAGGGGATATTTGCTAACTGAACATTGTAGCTAGGAGAAAACAACTGACAAATTGGAGCCTCTTGCATGGAGCACAAAAACTTCCAGTGTCCTTATACAACTTTAACAGATATATACTTACAGTATAGCACATTGTAATTGTTATTCAGATTACTGGGTCTCACAATTTAGTTGGGAAATTTTTGAAACCCCTTTTTGCTCTTTTGGGTTTAAAAATACAATGCTTACATATTCTATATGTAAAATGTATATGCTGATGTACCTGATGATAGGGAATGCCTATCCTTCCTATGACAACATTTAAGACTGCACTCAAACCAGTCGAGCAGAGCAATACTACTCACATTTCAAACCTGAGTATAGGGACAATATTGAGAAATAGTTTCTCACTTTAAACCATTGGTTCTGAAGCACTCTCAGTGTAATACATTTTCTCATTTGATCCCTACTTTCTTCTGAAATCAGATAGGTTAACTAAAGTTTCAAAGAAGGCAGAGGAGATAGAAGGAAAAAGGTCAAGAGGAGAAAGTTATGCTGATAGTCATTCAAATGTTAAAACACAGTGTCTAGTAAATTAATTATCTGACTAAACTATCACCACTATATAAAATAAATAATCACCAAATAAATTATCACCACTATATAAAACAATGAAGTGCCTGCTCTTCTGAAGAGAAAAGACCACATTACCTTTACTGTTGTACAGCTGCTTGACCAGCCACTGACAGACACAACAGCAGAACAAGTGGTAGCAAAATTAGGTGACAAAGTAGTGCTGTCTACCACTATATTTAAAAAGGGGGGGGCGATCTATAAAAGTAGTAAGGAGAGGGCAAATTAAGAGCTTTGGAATATGAAAACAGCTCTCCCTTCTCCAAATTGTTTACATTCTCTTTAAGAGAGACAGAGGCAGGAGACAAACAAAAGCCACAAATAACTGCATGATTCACACCAAAAGGCAGTGGGCAGGGTCAGTTACAATGGGTGAGACAATCAAAGAATCAGCAGTATGGGGTGATGTGACATGTTAGCAAGAGAAGGGAGGAGAAACAGAAACCCAGTCACCTAAGGCAGCTTCCAAAACATAACATAGCCCCCCCCCCACCCCACACTAAAAGTTTACCACTTCAATGGCTGTCATTGCTAAATCTGAGACTGAACAGCCTAGAGACAAAAGAGGGAAAGAAGACTGCATTATGTACCCTGAAGAAAGATGTCTCTTTTGCACTGTTATTTGCCACTTGTGTAGAACTTGTTATTTGTGTTGCTCGCTTTTTTGCATCTCCCCGTTTCAAGCACAGATTTCAAATCTTCAAGTACAGGCAGTCCCCGGGTTACGTACAAGATAGGGACTGTAGGTTTGTTCTTAAGTTGAATTTGTAAGTAAGTCGGAACTGGTACATATTGTAGGGGAAACTCTAGCCAAACATTTCTCCAGAGCTCAGTTTTACTCTCCCACACCTCACTTCCCTCGGTCCTTTATTCTTAAGCTGAGGTGTCTGCTGAGAAAAGCCGCTCCGCGTCTCCCTGGTCTGCTGGGGGCAGGGGGGGTGCTAGCTTCGCGTCTCCCTGGTCTGCTGGGGGGGGCAGCTAGTGCGGGGTTGCCTCACCCCGTTTGTAAGTAGGGATCCGATGTAAGTCGGATCCATGTAACCCGGGGACTGCCTGTATATCAAATTTACCAAAACTTGACCTTTACCAAACAATGTTTCTTTCTACAAATGCTTAAAAATCCAGGAACTGGAAATAACACTAATCCAAAATCTTGGTTGTATTATTGTGCAGGTAAGAAGAATCCCAGTTTGATGGAATAATGTGGACATACGAGTTATGGAGCAATATTTTGCAAACTGCCAGGGATAGCTAATAAGACTCCATAATACTGAAAAACATGGATTCACATTTGTTAGTGAAATGAAATATATAGGACCTAATAAAATGTCCACTTAAGCCAGTGGAATGACTCCCACTGACTTCAATAAGATTGGATCAGACCCATTAAAAATGAATCTTATTCTGGTAACCTGAAAAATATTAACTGCTAAAGTACTGTTACCCACAAGCTTAGTTAGCAGATCAGTAAAACTTTTCCAACACACTGCTTGATCAATAAGCAAAAAAAATTATATCCCTTCATAATTCATGTTTCACAATAGCACTATCCATCAAAACCTCTAACTGTATTTCTCCTTACACCTTTAAGTAGCAACTTATACAGTCAGGTATTACAAATCAGATGCTTAACACATATGCTTTTCCTTCCTTGATAATATTTCTGTAAGCACCCTCGCTAATATCTTTGGAATACATTTTTACTAAAGTACTGCCCAACAACGAGCAGAGAAAATGAAACTCAAAACATCAGTAGACAATAATGAGAGGATTACTTCACTACCACTTTCTTTATCCTTAAACGTTCCATTTACTTATCTCCTCCACTATCCAAATACTTTGTAAGTATTTACATGGGGAACAAATATTGAGTAATGCGTTCTTCAATCTAACAGATAAAAATATAACACAATCCAACGGACGAAAGTTGAAGCTAGACAAATACAGACTGGAAATAAAGCATAAATGTTGGAAGGAGGGGATAATTAACTATTGGAACAACATACCAAGGATCATGGTGGATTCTCATTGTTGACCATTTTTAAATCAAGACTGGATGTTTTTCGCAAAAAAATAAAAAATAAAAAATAATCCGCTCCAAGAATTATTATGGGGAAGTTCTATGCTTGTTCTACAAGAGATCAGACTAGTTCATCTCCTGTATAACAATGGTCCCTTCTGGCCTTGGAATCTATGAATCTACAAACCTTTACTTAGTCATTATTTTCCAATACGTATTAATCTGTCTGTAACTAGGCTCACATGAGTTTTACTATCTGGCACTAGAGAGTGAACACAGAGCAACCCAGAGTAAAATTAGTTCTCTCAGAACAAGCTTTACTATTTAAAAGTAAAAAGTACTCAAATGTTTTGGCCATTTTAAGTAATTCTTGCCCTTCCTGTGGAATGTCCATAATAAGTCGCCCATTCTAACCTCTTACAGTTAAAACCAGATATAGCTCCATGACTCGTCTGGTGACAGCTAATATAGCAAAACAGCAGACACTCCCAACATTTGAACTCTAAGATTGTGGAAAAAAAATCCACAGAAGGTATTCATAGACATGGAGAAACGAGAGATGAAAAAAAGCCTACTAGATTATTCAATTCTTCAGACATTGCAGCTCTTTTAAAGGAGACATTAGGAATTCTCAGAATACAGAGAATGAGAGCCTAGAAAAGAGCTAGGGATTTAGCCATTAAATTTATCCAAATGCCTGTTGTGTTCAAAATGTTACGCCTGGCCAAATTAGTGACCTTGCAGCAGCACAGCTATATCAATACAGCTGCACCATTATCAGATTGCTTGCGTAGCTGCTTTGTGGAGACAGCAGAGAGCTCTCCCATCAACCAAACCACTTCCACGACAGAGGAAAGCTTCTCCTGCTACATAGGGCTGTGCACACTGCCGCTTATGCTAGTGAAATTTGTGTCACTCAGACTGATTTTTTCCTACTCCCCAAACAACATAACTTTTGCCAGTGTAAGTGGGTGTGTAGATATGGCCTTAAATTTTAGAAGAATTTGTTGGGAAGCGCTTCTGATACATTGGACCATCCTAAGGGGGGATCTATAAGATAACGTAACTTAGATCCCCTGACCTTTAGACTGACTCCTACAACTCCATATCTCTTGCCTAGCTGAGTGTAAAGAGGATCTATTTGGCTAGAAGAAAAAGGTGCTTTTTAAAAAAACACTGAGTAGAGGTCATGATTTATAACATACCCCAATACTGCCACAATTTAACACGGCCGTAGTCATGTCTGTCAATTGCATCAATCACGAGCAGCTAAAAGCTAGGTGAAAAGTGTTAACATCCTAGATCTAGCCTACAGAAAAAATTGAGGTTTGTTAATACTCAACATCTTCTCACCTGCTTTTCCTCATCCAGATGATGTACCTTTTGTTAAACCACAAGCTAGCACAGTTGCAATGGTGGAAAACTGTATCTATTCTACATGTTAATCCAAAACACCCCTTCTATTAGTGACACCATTTTTCTAGTCAAAACAGGCACAGAGTACAAACGAATTCTAGACGAGTTTGTCTAAATTCAGAGAGGACTAATGCTACCTTACTCATTGCCTTCAAATAAGGCCCAGGAAAATTAATCTTCCTCTTCATTACAAAACACCAACAGTAATGATAAGGAAATATTTCCAAATACGGAATACAAATTGAATATTGGAGTTCTGTTACACTTAAGGATTTCCTGCTATTCAACTAAGTAAAGCAGCAGGAACCTCCTGAAAACAACAGCCTATGATTTACTGCTACTCTACTTTCAATGAGCAGCAAGTAGGAGGACTGACAAATGCAAATTCATTTCCCCAACAGGAAAACATACTGGGCGGGTAAAAGAAAGCTATGTACAAAAAAGTTTAATCTGTCATCCAGCACAAGTAGTAAATAAACATTTAACTGAACACATCAACATTTGTTCTGGTTAGTGGTGGAGAGAACAGTTATCTAAAAAGTTAGAAAAACTAAACTATCAATAAAACCACTTCAGTTCCTGAACATTTAACAACGTGTACACAATACAATTATAGTCTCTATATTCCACTATCTAGAGCCATTCTCTTTATTCCAATGGTAATAGTACAATTTTGAGACACTATGTACCCAATATAGAGACAAAGCTTTATTGTTCTGCTCAAACTTTAACAAGCTCAGCCTCTTCACAGCTTTTCTCTTGACAAACTATTTTCAAAAGAAAGTATTTGTTCTTTGGTAGTGCCCTTATCTAAAGATTTCAAATGCTTTGCAAATATTAATTAATACTGCTGTAAGATAGGTAAGATATTATTATCCCCATTCTAGAAAGAAGGAACCTGGGAATGTGATGTCAATGCTGCACCGCCAGGAATAAAAGGAGGGCTGCCATGATAGGGACTGGAGTGGAATTAAAGGTCCTGATTTTCAGAAGTTCTGAGCCTCCATATTTCAAACCCATTATAATAGGAGCGATATAGTCTCAGGAAAATCAGCTTGATGGCATCCTGACTTCCAGTCTGGCTGTGTCAACGTGCCTCTCTCAAGGGTTACTCTAAAATTTGAAACAATTTAATTTTGTTTCACAGTTTCATTATGGTTGGCAAAGAATAAAAATTAAGCAGTGCTAGAAGATAAGTATGTGACACTGCACATTTCACACACTACCCTAGCTTACTATATTTTTTTCCTTGTCATAGGACTCATCTTGGACTCAACTTGATGTACAAAATACAAGGTGGTTGTACTCTTAGAAAGGTTTTAAAATAGTGAATTACTCCATAGTAGCCAAAAACACTTAAGCATGTGCTTACCCTTATGCTGGTGCTTAGGTCTAATCTTATCCAGCAAAACACTATGTTAAGCCCCACTGAATTCACTGATGAAGCATGTGCATAATGTTCCATTTTGCCACAAAAACTGGGCCATGAAATAATAAAGAACAAGGCAAGATCAACTATTCAGGGGCTTTTCACAATGCTACACTGTCTTTTCTAATTAAATTATTGCTCTTCTCGTTCTAGGGAAAGTGACACTTACTTGTTTTTGAAGGAGAATCTTAAAAAGAACGAACTACCTCTCACCATGAATATGCTGTGGAAATGTAACAAAATATTGTTTCCCCCACATATGATCTGAGCCATTGATACCATTATTGTGAAAAGACAAAGTGTGGGGTTGCTACACACAAGATTGTAAAAATAATAGTAAAATTACGACCTGTGGCTTCCATACACCATTAAAGTCCTTTTACCACTGGAATTCCATTCTGCCCATGATCCAATAGAGTCCAAGTCTACTGATCTTCAGGGCATGCTGCAAAGATCATCCTAGGGCTATGCCTACACTGCCCTCTCTTGTACAAAAAAATAGGCAAATGAGGCAAAGGGTGGATATCACCGCGCCTCATTTCCATAATTAATGAGGCTCCCTCCA